GAGAGAAGAGGAGCCCAAACTCTCGCCCACCTGTTCTTAACCAGAAAACCCACTGACTGAAAATCTCACCTCTGCCACCCATCTACTTGCACTCATCTTTAGCAGGCCTCAAGATAAATATGGGTTAATGCCTGCATGATGCCTCTGAATTCAGGAATTGCAGGGAAGACTCGGGGCTTTGTGCCAATCGCCAAGTTGACAACTTTGGCTGAACAAATGAGTAGTGACTTCAGTGTCCTTGCGTACACATTCTGTGGACTGATTTAATGGAGTTGTCAGCATGATTATCATCTTCTAGCCAGGGGCATAGTTTCCAAGGCCATTTACCTCTTTCTAAGAAGAAACAAGTATGTGTATATATGAGAGAAACAAGAATGAGTGAATGAGGATGAAGAAACATTTACCCCATGTACTCAAGATATTTCAGTTTTAAAAGTCACTTTCCTATTAGACTTCCTGAAAAAGATTCTCACGTAGCCTCTATGTAATCAGAAAAATGACATTTGATTTCAAGAGCAGAGGGGTAAACATGCTCCTGCTAATCAACAGGTAGCAGGTGTCAGGGGAGTCGTAATGTTAGTAGCGCCACCTTCTGTTGGGTCAGTGGAGATGGGTGAGGAGCAGCAGAGAGCAGCAAGGATCATCACATGCAGCCAAACTTGGCCTCTGAAGGGGGAAGGTAGTGGGAATAGGTGAGAGAACTCACATTTTTCTCTTGTCCTGGTTTTATATTTTGGAGGGAAAGGATTATTTGGCCCTATTGAGAATCAAGAGGCCGGGTGCGGTGGCTCATGTATGTAATCCCAGCAACTTGGGAGGCCCAAGCAGGCAGATCACCTGAGCTTGGGAGTTCGAGACCAGCCTGACCAAAGGGGAGAAACCCCGTCTCTACTAAAAATACAAAAAATTACCTGGGCATGGTGGCGCATGCCTGCAATTCCAGTTACTCGGGAGGTTGAGGCAGGAGAATCATTTGAACCCAGGAGGCGGAAGTTGAGGTGAGCCAAGATTGTGCCGTTGCACTTCAGCCTGGGCAACAAGAGCAAAACTCCATCTCAAAAAAAAAAAAAAAGAGACATGGCTGGACACAGTGACTCACACCTGTAATCCCAGCACTTAGGGAGGCTGAGGCGGGTAGATCACGTCCAACATGGCAAAACCCCGTCTGTACTAAAAATAGAAAAATTAGCCGGGCGTAGTGGCACGTGCCTGTAATACCAGCTACTCAGAAGGCTGGAGCAGGATAATTGCTTGAACCTGGTAGGTGGATTTTGCAGTGAGCTGAGATCATGCCGCTGCACTCCAGCCTGAGTGACAGAGCAAAACTATCTTAAAAAAAAAAAAAAAAAGTAAGCGACAACCCATGTCCCAGTGCCTCGTCTTGCACTGCAGAATTTACATCTAAGAAGAAAACGTATTTTTCAAAGGGCGGTTGCTGGCCTCATCCCTCACTAATTGACAACCCATCTGTTGATGCCATTTTTTCCCTTCCTGTTCTCACTCCACAGAAAGAGGAGATGTGGTTCTTGTTTGGTAATTGCTAAAATCTCTTCGAGGAAAGAAATAAAGATGTCAACTCCTTTGGCTTGCTTTTTCATTTATTTTTCTTAGACAAATAGACTATATGATATCTAACTTTTGTGTATATCTTCGGGTAGCCCAGGATACACATACCCTCATCATACCAGTGGTTCACAAACTTCTGGATGCAAAAAAAAAAAAAAAAAAAAAAAAAAATTACTTGGAATGCATGTTTAAAATGCACGTTTTTGGCTCCTCCCAGCCCCCAGGAAGGTTTGAAGCTCAACAATCTGATTTTTTTTTTTTTTTTTTTTTTTTAATTTGGAATCTCGCTCTGTCAGCTCACTGCAACCTCTGCCTCTCGGGTTCAAGTGATTCTCCTGCCTTAGCC